CCCCAAAACCCCAAAACCCCAAAACCCCAAAACCCCTTTAGGCGAGAATTTAGTTGAAAATCATAATTAATTTTTAGGTAAGTTCCCTACTGAAATCAGGCTAATCCTGTTAGGTGTCCAGACCAGCCGATTTACTGCTTCTTGGATCGATCTAGCTTGTTCAGTAATGCTAATGGGTTCATATAGAATGCTAGAAGAAACTAAGGAAGTTCAGAGCAAGGACCATGAGAATGCCCACTTTCTTAACTCAAAATGGTGCACTTGGCTAAGAGACAGAGCTGAAGGAAACAGGGATGAGTTTGAAAAATCTCTCAACATAATGTGCTTCTGTGATACCCTCGAGACCTTCTTTGTCAATTACGTTCACTCAAAAAGGCCAAGCCAGATCGACTTCAATGCTGATATCTTCCTATTTAGAGAAGAAGAGAAGCCAATGTGGGAAAAGTGTCCCAAAGGATGTACTCTCGTTATCAAACTTCAAAGAGACAACAAGCACCTGAATTACTTCTGGGAGAAGCTCTGCTTCATGTGCATTGGAGAAATCTTAGAGGATCTCAACATCATTGGGGCTGGCATTTCTTTGAGAAGAAACAACTGTGCACTTCTTGAGATTTGGAACAAGGATCTTGAGCAACTTCCTAGCATGAGCCCCACAAATCAGTTAGACCTTTAGTAGTAACCATATAGAACATCCAAATTCAGAAGAGGCTTTGGCTCCTCAAGCAATGATGCCTTCAAGGAGAATTTGTCCAATGAAAAATTATCCAGAAAAGTCATTTCTTACTTAGGAATGACAGATGAAGATGACTACAGTGTGTACTTTAAGAACCATTCTGAAGCTTTGAAGGTACTTTTAGTTAATTAAATTTCCCTAGGATAGCAGCAACACCAAGACCTCTCAAGTCCTGGGTGACATGAGAAGCAGAAGAGGTGAGTACTTTTCACTTAGATTTAGGAAGAAGATACTATCAAAACCACAGATCTAACTCAATTTCTTACCAAGTATATTACTCCTAACTCTTTAGAACCGTGGATATAGCTCGAGAAGACGCTTTAGAGAGAGTAGTACCCAAGAAGCAAGATTCCATCATCTAAGATAATACTTTCAGAGTAAAATTCAATTGTCCATTTGATTAGCGGGGTTTTGGGGTTTTGGGGTTTTGGGGTTTTGGGG